GTGCTGACCCCTGAGCTGCCCCTGGGCCAGGAAGCTGGTGTCTGGGAAGCGAATGCCAGCAGGATGCGGCTGGGGGAGCAGCCAAGCAGATCTGCTGACTCTGCCCCCAGAACTGAATCTGCAACCAGAAGGCCCTTCTGGAAGCATCCGAAGGGTTGACAGCCCCCGTAAAGATCAGTGCCGCACCCACCCCACTTTGCTCTAAGAAGGTCGGGTTCCGCTCACCAGTCCCCTGGGGGGGCCGCGCCTTCCTGCCCCGTGGAGGCCACGCTCTGGCCAGCCCCCGTTCCGTGGTCCACACTGCACGGCGTTAAATGCTGTGAATACTGCGCTTGGCAGGACGATGCCACCGACCCCTCTGGACAATGCAGAGGTGAAGAGGCAGGGCTCCAAGTGCACCCTCAGGCTGACGCGACAGGCGGGCGAGGCCCAGGCCGCAGTGGGGTGAACCAGCTGGGTGTCTGCCCCGCGTCAGGCCCGCAGTCATGACATGCCCCCCTTCCTTGCTGGCGTGTTCCGGAAGCCTCTTCAAGCCTGAGGACAGCAGCCCGGACAAGGCATTGTTAGAGGAAGTGACTTTTCTGGTCAATTACTCTGCAGATTGGCTGTGAGCAACCCGGACGCCGCCTGAGCCGCTGCTGGGGTCAGGCGCTGATGGCGCCTGGGGAAGGGGCCGCAGGAGGCCCAGCGGCTTTCTGGTGTGCTAAGAATGGATCTCACAGTTTATCCCGGGCTCTGGCAAAACTGTTAAAAAGGATGGTGGTGATGGTGGTGATGAAGGTGGCGGTGAGGGTGATGGTGAAGGTGGTGGTGAGGGTGATGGTGATGGTGATTTTCTGCTTCTGCGTTTAGAGGCAGGAGGTACCTGCCTCTTCCCTGGGCAATGAAGTCTAATCCCAAATCCTCCAGCTCTGAGGTCTGAGGATCTCTCTAGGGCTTGGAGGTAGGAAAAGGCCCTGCAGCAGGGAGCCCCTCCATCCTGCCCCAGACCTGACAGCCACCAGGCCCTGCAGAAGCGGGGAGCCACCAGAGACACCCCAGAGATGCCCCAGCCACTGCTGGGAGAAAGGGGAGGCGCTAACTGGCTTCACCCCACCCAGGACCCGTCCCTGACGCCCTCCCTGCAGCACCTGCCCCCAGGGCCCCTCTTTTCGCCAGCCCCACACCCCAACCTCAGGCCCCACCAGGCCCAGGGGTGGCCTTCAAGCTGTGCCACCGCATTCGGCAGGCACATCCACCCGCCCTGTCCTCATTGTGCCCTTCTGAGAGGACAGGCACAAAGGAGCCAGAGACGCCTGGCGAGGGGCTGCACCAGCCTGGCTGGGTCCATTCCTGGGGGCCTCTCCCCACGGTGCTGCCCCCCTTAGCGGAAGTCGCCCATCCTCCGCTGACTCGGTCGCCTCCTGCAGCCTCCCCGGAGCAGTGCGGGTGCAGGGAGGACCCCAAGTCTGGCCCTGACTGAGGGTGTCCCAGCCCCTCCCCACAGTGTCCGCGGGCGCCTGAGGAGCAGAGCCTGTGAACACTTTACAGAAACATAATAATTTTAATCAGCATTTTCCTTTCCATTGAAAATCACAAACTTAGCTACTTAATCAAATGTCACGCTTAAGACACATTTACCTCCCTGGGAGAGAAATGAACAATGGCAGCTCAATTTGGCTTTGGATGGGTTTGAAAAGTAGTCGAGTCTGGGGAGGCCATTAGGTAAATGGCCTTGAGGGCCTCTGAGGGCCCCCGGGGGCGGCCGCTGCGGGGCGGGCAACGGGCGGGGCTCGGGGGTGCTCTGCTCCCTATGGGGCGGCCAGACGCGGCGGGGGGCTTCCACCGCGGGGTCTCAAAGTTCACTTTTGCACTTGGTGAAGCTGGCAGGAGGGGCATGTGTGAGACTGCGTGTGACGTGTGTGCGCATGTGTGATGGTGCACATAGCCATGTGCACGTGTGTGTCAGCATGTGACATGTGATGCATGAGGGTGCATGTGTGTCACTCCGTGACATGCATGTGCAAGTGTGCACACACGTGCTGCTGTGTGCTGCCAGCATGTATGCATGTGTACATGTGAGTGTGCATGTTCATGTTACGGTGAGACAGCGTGTCTGGTAGTGTGCAGGTATGTGCATGCACATGTGTGCCAGTGTGTGCCAGTGGGTGTGTGCACATGTGTGTATGACTGCCTTGTGTGATGTTGAGGTGAGTGTGTGCACATGTGTGTGACTGTGTGTGAGTGTGTGCTGTGTGTTTGCATGCATGCATGTGCTCGTGTGTATTGAACATGTGTGTGCACATGTGCATGGCCATGTGTGCGCACAAGCAGCTGTGTGCAGTGGTGTCCGTGGCAGCACACGCACGTGTGTGTGTTGGGTGGCAGCATAGACCTGCTTCCCGGGAGGCGGGTGGGCGGGCCGGGAGTGTGCGTGTGCTCACAGAGCAGGGAGCTGCCGCACTAAGGGCAAGACAAGTTAACAGGCGGCTCCTTTCGAGGGGCTGGGTGGGCCTGCTGGGGACGGGGCACCCTGGGCCCTGCACTTAGGCCAGACTCCCCAGCCTGAGGGGGTGGGCCTCGCGCCCCAAAGATCACAGAGGTTGGCCGGCCGGCGCAGCCACTGCTCCTGGGCTCCAGAAAGCACCCCCTCTCCACTGCCTCCTCAGGGGTCACCCCTGGGGGCCGGGAGCCCCCAGTCAGTGGGGAGAAGCGGAGGTTTGAGACCGAGACGGAAAATGACACGTTTCTGTGGACTCGACTGAAATCCAGCGCCTCCTCCCCTGAAAAGCAGGCGTCAGGTGACAGAGGAGACCCGTAGAAAAGGGGCTGCGTCCCCCACACATCACCCCAGCTGAGGATCTCAAAACACGATTGTCACAAGTGTTGCCCCCAAATCGTGGCAGTGTTTGGAGCGGCCACTTAGCCGCTGCACGCGTGAAGAGCTCGCGTGCTTCCACGGGGAGCTCTGCCTTGGCGATGTTTGGATAATCCTGTCAGGACAACCGGCCTCCCAACCGCCCGTGCCGCGCAGCGCAGCGCAGCGGGCACCCTCACGGGACGGACACAGACCCGCGGGTGGCAGGCGGCGCCGAGGGGTGGAGCAGGGAGCCCAGCGCCCGCCCTGCCCGGGTGGCTCTGACTGAGGAAGGGCCTGGGGTGCAGCAGCCGCCCTCGTCCCACTAGGTGGCAGCAGTGCGGGCGCCCCGGCTCCGGCTGTCGGGGCCCACTCTGATGCTCTGGGCCCACGTCCCGGCTGCACTGTGGCCCTGATCCCCCAGCCTGGGAGGGGGTCCGAAGGCCCAGGGGCCCCGCAGGCCGGCAGAACACTCTGGGTGCAACAGACCGTGGGGGCATCGCTCTGATGCCCTGCAAAGCCCCCTGCCTGCAGAGGAGCGCCAGGCCCCTCTCCTGGGGGGGCAGACCAGGTGCCAGGGGAGCAGCAGGCAGCAGTGCCGGCCCTGCACCCCTCCCTGCCCCTGCCACCTCGGGGTCGCCGTGGGGACCGCGTGGTCCTGCCTCCAGCCTGGAGGGCGCTTCCCCTGCAGGCCCCAGGTCCAGGGGCCGTCCCAGCCAGGTTCAACGGCCCTGCCAGCACCCCCTCCTCAGCCTGGCACCCCAGCCTCCGCACCCCTCCTGGAGCGCCCACCAGGATTAGGCACCTTCTCCCCCCCTCCCCCGGCCCTGCCTGGTCTCTGGGCCCCTGGCTGGGCTCCCCGCTCCGGCGCCCCAGGAGCCACCCGCCCTGCGCGACGCCCCTCTGCCCCCGTGGCCCGCCAGGCGCTGCCGGCCCCGCGCGGGTCTGGCCCCCCCCCCCCCCCCCCAGGCTGCTCTTGGGCGGGGGCGCCACCGCGGTCGGGGGGGGTGGTGGCTGCCCACGCCCGCCGGGACACGTGGGTCCGCGCAGGCTGGGCCGGCCGAGGGGCCGGAGCTGAGTCGGGGGGCTCCCCGCGCCCCGGCAGGGAAGGGCAGAGCCGAGTCGGGGCTCCCCGCGCCCCGCCCGCGCGCCCCGCGGCAGCTCCGCCTGGAGGAAACTTTCCTCGCGGCCCCGATCCCGGGCCCCCGGCGCTCCCCGGGAACGCGCCTCCCGGCTCCGCGCTCGGGCCGCCGGGCGCGCGGGAACCGGGTCGGAACCTCGAACGGCTTCGCTTGCCACCCGGTTGCCGTGGCAACACCATCCGGCGGCGCCCGGCGGCCCAATCGCCGCCCGCGGCCTCGCCTGCGCCTCGCGAGGGGGGACCCGGCCCCGCCGGGCGCGGGGCGCGGGCGCGGGCGGGGGCGGCCGGCGCGGGGCGCGGGCGCGGGGGCGCGGGGGGCCGGGCGGGCGGGCGGGGGCGCGGGGCGCGGGCGCGGGGGGCGGGGCCGCGGTGACGTGCGCGGCCGGCGGGCGGAGTTGGGGCGCTGCCGGCGGGGGCGAGCGCGAGCGGCAGACGCGCGGAGGGAGCGGCCGGCGGCGCGGGCGGCTCTGCGGCGGGCGCGGTGGGCGCGGGCGGGGGCCCGGGATCCCCGCGCGCCCCCTCGGCGCGGCGCCGCCCCGCGCGTTCCCAGCCCCGCGCGCCCGGCCGCCGCCTCCCGCCCCGCGCCCGGACGGAGCCCCCGGCCAACTTGGCGCGCGGCCCCGAGGCGGAGCCCCGCGCCCCGGCCGGCCGGCGCGCAGGAGCCCCGCGCCCGCGCCCCCCCCCCCGCGCGGGCCGGACCCAGGCGAGAGCCGCGCGCGGGGACACGCACGGACCGCGGCGCCGCCCGCCCCCGCCGCGAGGGCGCCCCCGCCCCCCGCGCCCGAGGGCCGCGGCCCGCCCGGCCGGGATGTGCGCCCCCGCGGGCCGCCCCGCCTGAGCCATGCGCCCCGCGGCGGCGGCGCGCCGGCCGGCATGGAGCCCCGCGCGGCCGCGCTCTGACTCGCCCCGCGCCCCGCGGCCGGCGGCGCCCGGAGAGACCCGCCGCGGGACGAGCAGCCGGCGCGGGCGCCGCGCGCATGGCCGGGGCGCGCGCGGTCTGAGGCTCCGCTCCAGAGACGTGACCATGTGGATTCAACAGCTCTCGGGACTCAGGTGAGCGGGCGGCCGGCGGGCCGGCCGGGCCGGCGCGCGGGGCCCCGCGGGGAGCGCTCGGTCGAGGGGTCCGCGCGCCGGCCGGTCCCCGGCAGGAGGCGCGCCCGCGGCTCCCGAGCCAGCAGCGCAGTGTCCTGGCCGCCCGCCCCGCGCGCCTCCCGCCCGGGCAGCGGCGGAGCCCCGGGGCGGGGGCCGGGCAGCCGGGGCGGCCGGGGCGGCCGGGCTCGGGGCCGGTCCGGCCAGGGCTCTGCACGCAGAGTTGAAGGAAACCCGGACGGGCAGCCGCGCGGCCCGGTGCCCCCTTCTTCGGGACCTGGGCTGAGCAGGGCCTCCCCGGCTCCCAGCTGCACATCCAGCTGTTTGCCCGTGACCTCGGCCCCACCGGCGCGCAGCTGGCAGCGGATGGGGCGGAGAGGCGGGGGCTTGGGGAGCGCCCCCCGCCACCCCCAGGGAGCCACCCGGAGCACTCAGGGCTGGTCCGTGTCCGGACCCCAGGGCCGGCGGCAGCGGCCAGATGGAGCCTCAGGCTGCTCTGGGGGGCTCGGGAAGACCCTTGCGGGCAAACTTTGCCCACCTGCCGTGCGCTGGGACTTCATCCCCTGCCCGCGGCCACCCGAGACCCGGCGGGACGCGGCTGTCCCCGGGCTGGCCGGCTGCTCCCGAGCCACCGCCCTCCTGCCAGGGGCTCCTCGGAGCCGGCACGTTTGGGTTCTGGGGTGCAAAAGAGCAGGGAGGACAGCGGCAGAGGCCGCCCCAGCAGCTTGCGCTTCGGAGTTTGTCCACTGGGATGCACTGTGCCCCTGCGAGCCGGAGCCCGAGCCGGAGCCAGCCCGGGGCTGGACAGGCTGCCCGAGCCTCCGCATCCCACCCAGAGCTGGGGGAGCGAGCTGGGGGCCCAGTTAACTGGAGCCCTGGTTTCGGGGAGCCCGGGGAGCTCTCTGCCCGTGGGTGGCGGCTCCCCTTTCCTGGCGTGAACGCTGCGTAACACACTTAGTGCACCGGCAGGCGACGTGACCGGCCTTTTTCTGGAAATCGCCTCTTTCTCCAGGTGGCCGGTCTCGCCTGCCGCGGGGCTCGAAAGGTGAACCGCCCGGCGCGGCCTCTTGGCTGCCGGCCTGGCGGGGCTGAGGTCTTGTGCTCCGCTACACAGGGCTTAGGTTTGGCCTTTCTGGGGCGAGACAGAACGGGGCGAGGGCTGCTTCGCCGGGTGACCGGGTCCAGGCGCCCTGCTCAGCCCCCCTGCTCCCCGCCAGGCTTCGGCAAAGATCACCCCCCCCACACACACACACACACACACACATCCGGGGGCACCTCTGGCTTCCAGATGCTTCCTGAGCTGCTGTCTGGCACTTGATTGCTGATGGTGGCAAGTTATTTGAACTGATATCTGCTTTATTACCAAGTTGCCAGATCCAGAGATCAGCACCTTGTGGTCAGGGGAGAGGAGCGCGGCCGTGCCGGCAGGAGCCCGCTGCTCAGCCCCCCGCGCCGTGCCCGCGCGAGCTCGGCCGGAGCGTGCGCCAGGAAATGGTTCTGTGGGGGATTTTGAAGTTTGACCTTTTGGTTTTTTCTCTCCATGTTAGCACAAGGGATTTTCTCTAAGTGTGCCTCTCCGGAGGTGCCGTCACCTCCGGGGTGCTGGCGGGGAGCTCTGTCCTGCCCGCCAGAGCCGGCCCTGCCCGGCCAGCAGCCAGGGCGCCCCCGCCCTCGGTGACCGGACGCCGGGGCGGCCGTGAGGGCTGGAAATGTGCTTTTTGCCGGGTGTCAGCTGGTCCCCTCGGCCAGCCATCCGTGGCTCCCAGGTGCGCCCCGGGCACCCTGCGGCCGGGCCGCCTGGCGACGCCGGGTCCGAGCCCCGCTCCGCCTGCTGGTTGTCGGCTCGGTGTGGCCAAGCGGCGCGCGAGCCTCTCCTCCTCGGGAGGGACAGATGGCGTGTGTCAAGCTCCCTTTGTGCCTCTCTGGCGGCCGATGTCGCAGCGTCCCAGAGAGACGCTCGTCAGCACGGCTGAGGTGACTCGAAGGCGGCCGGCCCGGCCAGCTGTGGGGGGCGCACGGCAGCCCCGGCCTGAGGCTGGCTGCTGGCTGGGCAGCCCCGAGGCTGGGTCCCCGGCCGGGCCGGCTGTGCTGGTGTCTGCGGGGAGACCTGTCCACGCTGGCCTCCTTCTCAGACCTGTCCCTGGGCCACGCCGTGCGTTCTCCCCTTGAAGGTCCCACGGCCCTGTGGTGGGGGGGTGAGGGGGGGCGGCGTGTGACAACCTGCTGTGCCCCCTTTTTTCAGTGGGATTTGCAGGGGGCCTCCCTGCTCAGGGTCGTCGCCATCCCGTCTGCAAAGTCCCCAGCAGCCGGGGCGAATGCTGGCTTTGGGGGCCCCATCAAAGCTCCCTCCCGTGAGTCCTGGCTGGCGCCCATTTCCAGCTGCTGCTACCAAATTGCTTGCAACTGGTTCCGTGGCGTGCCGGCGCCGGGTGCGCCGGGGACAATACTGCTGGGGCAAATCACCATTTTAGGAGGCAGCGCAAATCCTCCACCCCAGGGCCGGTCCCCTCCCGTCAGTCACCCTCACCCCCACCGAGGGCTCCGCTGTCCAGGCGGAGGGGCGGGGCGGCCCTTCGGTCCTTTCTGCTGGCTGTGTTAACCCCTTGCTCCCTTTGCATGGAGGAGGGCGCCGAGGGGGGAGCAGGGCGAGGCCTTGCGCCGGCCCAGACGGCTCCCTGCCTCCCGGCGTCGACGGCTCTTTCCCCCGGGACAGGGACCGGCCTGCTTCCCGCCACTTCCGCCTCCTGCCGACAGAGCCGGGGCTCGGGGTCCAGTCCCGGCCTCGCGGTCCCGGCGCACCGGCCCGGGCACACTTGGCGGGGTGGGCACGCTGGCCGTGCCCTGCATGTCCCTGGGCTTGTGGAGAGGCCCAGGGCGCCCTGGCGGGTCGCCGCGGAGCGGTAAACACCAGCCCTCACCTGACCGGCGGCGCCCGCCCGCGTCCGGGGCTTCTCCCCGGGGTTACGTAAGAGTCATCTGCTTCCACTACGTCGTTGCCAAGTTTTCTTCAAAGGGTTACAAGTCAGTAGAGACCAAACTGATGTAAAGATTAGCTTGGAAAGCCAAATATATCCTTGATCTAGATTTTCGTGTTTGAAGTCTGGCTCGAGAGGTTTTCTCGGGTCCGATGCCAGTCAGGCGCGAGGGGCTGGCAGGCGCGGCCGTGGGCGCGGGGGCAGGCAGCCAGGCCGCGCCTCCTCCCCTAAGACCCCTCCCCGGAGCGCGGAGGTCTGGGCGCGTCGGAGGCCCCGGCCTGGGGGGTCTTACATAACGCGGGGAGTCTCGGTTCATAGAAAGTCAGAGGCTGGAGCTGCCGGGGCAGAGCCCGGGGGCCTGGGGCCTGGCTCCCTGCGCCGGGCACGAGGGTCAGGTCTGGCACCCCGGGAGACCTGGCCGCGCCAGCCCCCCATCCTGGGCCCCTGCACCCCCAGGAGCATGGGCTGCCTCTTCTGGTCCCTGAGCCCTGCCACAGAGTGTGGGGGCTCCCGTCTCCTCCTGCCGCGGGGGCGGGGGCTGGAGCGGGGGGCAGCTGCCGCTGCTCTTCCAGCCGCCTCGGGACGGCCGTGTAATTGGGGCGCCCGGGCGAGGGACACGGCTGGGGGCTGGGCCGCTCCCGCCTGCGTCTCTCTTTGGAAGGCGCCTGCGGTGAGAGGCCCGGCACCCTCCGGTCACCTGGGGGTGTTAGCGCTGGAGAAGCCCCCCGCACGGCCCCCGCAGAGGGGAGGGCCGCGGCCAGGAGAGCCGTGGGGCAGACGGAGGCCGACGGGGCCGGGTCAGCGGGCGGGGGCTCGGCGGATGGCGGCCTTTCCAGCCCGCCCTGGGCTTTGCAAAAGGTGCTGCTTGATTTTTCCTCCTCTTCCCAGAAAGAGGTTGGCGGCAGCCCTGCGGGTCCATCTGTCTTCAGCTTCCCGGCTGCATGCTCGGTGCCTGCCCTGTCCAGGCGGTGGACTCTGCCAGGTGTGGCGCTTCCCTCGGGCCGGCCGGGGCCCCGGAGGCCATGCGGCCAGTCCTCCGGGACAGCTGGCGCTCGGGCTGGGTGACCCCCCTTGTGCTCCCGCGCGGCCTCAGGTGCTGCTGGACGGTGGCTGCACCGCAGTGCCAAGGACACTGGCAGCAGCGCTGGAGACTGAGGGGGGTGTCTCCCCGGAAACGGGGGGAGCCTGCTGCTTGCAGGCCTCCTGTCTGGCGCTGGAAAGGATGTGCTCTCCGCTCGGGGCCTGTTGTTCTTCCTCTTCTCTCGAGAGGAGACATCTGTGGCTGCAAATGTGTCCCCGGGGCATGGCACTCTGGCTCCAGCAAGCTGTGCCCTGGGATCCTCGTCCCTAACGCCACGCTCGATGCGGGGAAGGAAGGCCCACCCGGGGCCAGCCTAGGTTGAGACCCTGTCTTGCCCCAAGCAGATGTTCTGCTTCTTCACCTGCTTCCCGGAGCTCGACATTCCACCATGAGAGAGTCATTCCTTTGGCTGGCAGCTTCGTCACCTCTGGAGTGCAGACATACTTGTGGCACTAGGATGGGGATGAAGGACCCACCAAGGGGTCGGGGAGACACGGGTGGGCGTGAGCTTGGGAGAGGCAGACTTACCGTCGTTACGGTCAGGTTGAGGCCCCGGCTCGCTCAGGGACACCCGCTAAGGGCTGGAACAGGTTAACATGGGAAGGGAATTTGCTCGAAAGGGAGGGTGGGCCCTGTGGGCCCTGTGGACGGGGCGGGAGGGGCCAGCGTAACGGGCATGACAGGCACACCCCTGGGAGCCGCTCCGTACCCAGGGAGCACCCACTCTGCCACCTGACCCCCACGGGAGCCACCTCCCGCGCCCACGCACACCTTCCACTTGCTTCTGTCTCAGCGCTGGTGCCTGTACAGAGCGGGGCCCGCTGGGGGCGTGGGTGGCCCCGTGGGGACAAGCAGCCCTGTGCAGCCACATGCAGGCCGCCTCGAGTGCGTGCCGTGTCCCCCAGTGC